AAAAAAGCTGGGCATGGTGGCTCACACCTGTAATCCCAGCACTTTAGGAGGCCAAGGTGGGTGGATCACCTGAGGTCAGGAGTTTGAGACCAGCCTGGCCAACATGGTGAAACCCTGTCTTCTATTAAAAATACAAAAATTAGCTGGTGTGGTGGCAAGTGCCTATAATCACAACTACTCAGAAGGCTGAGGCAGGAGAATCACTTGAACCCGGGAGGCGGAGGCTGCAGTGAGGCGAGATGGTGCTGCTGCACTCCAGCCTGGGCGACAAAGCCAGATCCTGTCTAAAAAAAGATAAATTATACAAAAAGGCCAGGCACAATGGCTCACTGACGTACCCAGCATTTTGGGATGCTGAGGAGGAGGGTTGTTTGAGCCCAGGAGTTCAAGACTGGCTTGGGCAGTATAGTGAGACCTCATCTCTACACAAAATTTAAAAATTAGTTGAGCACAGTGGTGCGTGCTTGTAGCCCCAGCTACTCTGGAGGCTGAGGTGGGAGGATTGCTTGAGGCAGAGGCTGCAGTGAGATCACACTACTGCACTCTAACCCAGACGACAGAGTGAGAACCTGTCTCAAAAAAAAAAAAATTTTTTTTTCACAAAAAGACAAAGCAAATGGACAGAAGTGTATAGGAAACCTTTAGTAATACCCACATTAAGGTAAATTACTACCGCTAGGGCATCAAATCTGGTAAGCGTTTAAAAAAAGAAATGCAGTAAGATATCCAGTGTCATTCAATATTATTTTATTTGGCATAAGTTTTTTGATACTAAATTAGTAACAAGCAGTCATTGTCCTATGTCCTAGTGAATCACTGTTCTAGAATTCAGCATCTATAAAGAATTATAATCCTCAGCTTTGAGATTCAAACTTCAGTTTCTCTCCCCCATCTTTAGTCATTTCAATATATAATGTCCCCTTAACCATTCCATTATCAATGTCCTCTCTATAGAAAATCCAGCATTCCTTCTGCAGTTTAGAGACACTGCAATCTCTTACGCTACTTTGAAATTTTTAAAAGAGCATCTCTTACAGCTGCAAAAGTAGTGCTTAGATCTCCCTTCGAAGTATAAAGTAAATATCCCCAGAGAAACCACACTGCCTCTGGAGCCAGACTGCCTCCTTATGATTTCCGGTACTATCTTGAGCAAGAAACTTAATTACTTTGCTGTGTCTCCATTTCTTCCTCTGAAAAATGAGGAAATAATTGTACCTACTTCAAAGGACTGTTGTGAGGCTCACATTTTAAGCACAACATAAGTATTAACTCTTATTTAGCTCCAAATTCTAGTACTGTTTCACATGTGTACACTAGGTTTGCCTAACTAAAATATTACCTACCATTCTGAATATCTTTGATGTTTCCCCACAGTAACATTCATTTAATAGGTAAATATAAACCTACTCTCTCTATATATAAAATATATATTATATCTATTCTATATAATATTATTACATATATAATATAATATATAATAGATGTAATATATATTATATAAAATAGATGTAATAATATTATATTATATGTAATATATAATATTATCTATTATAGATGTAATATATAATATTATCTATTATAGATGTAATATATAATATTATCTATTATAGATGTAATATATAATATTATCTATTATAGATGTAATATATAATATTATCTATTATAGATGTAATATATAATATTACATATTATACCGGATACCAAGGCAATTCTCAAAAATAGGACATCCCATAGCATTGAAGAGCTTATATTTTGGGTGAGGAAACAAAATACATGAAACACTCATGTATCAATATAAAGCTATAAAAGATTAACTGTCACAGAGTGTGGTATACACAGTAAATGTTCAAAGAGTCATTGTGGGCTGCAGATTGCAGAGAAAGTGAGGCTGGAGTGGCCCTGCACCCAAAGGCAGGTGGGATCTTCGCTAGTGGAAAGTGGAGCGTGCTCATTCTACAAAGGTTTACGTAGCACTGTTTGCCAGGTTCTGTTCTAGGCCCCACGGAAAAGACAATGAGTGAAACAGAAGAAGTCCCTGCATTCAGGGAGCTTAAAGGGCACTCCATCTGAGAGCCAAATTTTGAAGGAATGAGAAAGGCTTGTCTTCCTGTCATAGGAAACACATCATTTAAACGCCTTATGAACAGGAGCCAATGCTGTTATTACACTCACTATGGCTTTCCAACAGTGACAACCATACAGAAATTCCAAAATTTTTTCATGTACTGTAATATACTGTATTCTAAATCAGTGCCATCTTTAAAAAGCACATAGGCCGGGCACAGTGGCTCACACCTGTAATCCCAGCACTTTGGGAGGCTGAGGCGGGCGGATCATGAGGTCAGGAGATCGAGACCATCCTGGCTAACATGATGAAACCCCATCTCCAGTCACAAATTCACTCCAAAAGAAAACATGTACATCTTTTTCATTCTAAGATCCTTCCATTGATGACAACTCTCAACTCCTCCCCTCCCCAAAGAAAATGACTTTAAGTAAAGAAACCCTTTTGTAAATACTGACTAGCAAAGCATTCTTAATCTTTTCCTCTTCCCAAAGATGGAACACCAGAATCTTCTGATAGCTAAGTTCCACATGCTTTTTAATCACAAAGAAGACACACGTCCAACTCTCCAGTCCTTTCAACTCCCAAGAAAATGTGAACTGTTAAGTTAAACCCTACGCTCATCTCAGAATCATTGTTAATTGGAACTGTTATGCCTACACAAATCATTAAATTCTATCTTCAAAATAAAATTAAGGAAGCCAAAACTATTCAATTAAATCCAATCAAAAACTTACTATTAATGCACAAAGTACTGGACTCAATACTAAGCATATATTCAAGACATTTAAAGGCAAACCAAAAACTTAGACACACAAATCTTTCACAACTACCTACAATGTAAATAACATCCTTAACATTCAAATGCCCAGTAAAACTGCGCTAGACTCATCAACAAATAGCCAGTCCACTGTTTTTTGTTTTTTTTTTTAGTTTGGTATTAGAAAATTAGTCTTGTTTCATTATGTTTGTTTACCCTTAATTAGGAATGTCACTTAGAAATTAAATATGGAAAGAGGGGGCCATTTAACAAAGGACCATTAGGGCTTTCTCAATATTTACCTTTTTCCAATGTCCTAGCATAGCCTGTTCACTGGGCGACAATGTTATATAATGGAGACTTTGATAAATAAGAGACACAGGGCTTTGGAAACTATTCAGCACCTAAATAAAGGGACTAATTGTACTTTTATGAATTTTTAAAGCCATATTCCAACTTGAAACAACACATTAATTTACTCTATGGGTAACATTTTATATTGCCAACACTCTTATTTTACAAAAGCAGAAACAAGTATTTAATGTACACGTTTGCTGCGAGCGGTGGCTGTGGCTCACGCCTGTAATCCCAGCATTTTGGGAGGCCAAGGCAGGCGGATCACCTGAGGTCTGGAGTTCGAGACCAGCCTAGCCAACATGGTGAAACCCCGTCTTTACTAAAAATACAAAACTTAGCTGGGCGTGGTGGCGGGCGCCTGTAATCCCAGCTACCTGGGAGGCTAAGGCAGGAGAATCGCTTGAACCCGGGAGGCGGAGGTCGCAGTGAGTCAAGATAGTGCCATTGAACTCCAGCCTGGACAACAAAAGCAAAACCCCGTCTCAAAAAAACAAAACAATAACAATAATGTACACGTTTCACATGTGGACACACTGAAATCAAACTCATGTATTCAAATCTTTTGAGATTAAGTGACATAAAGCATGCACACCATTTGGCACAGGCCACGCAAACAATCAGTACTCAACATCACCTGTTATTTTCCTAATTTTCCAACTTTAGAGTCAAACTAAATGTTATACAACTATATATATATGATTATATATACACTATATATAAATACATATAAATACCGTAAATTAAGCTAGTATGTTATTGCGTAAACTAATGGTCTTACCCTAGACAAAAGTGAGTTTAATTGTAACAGATGAAACAAAGAATAGAAAACTTGTTAAGTGTTCAATGTTAGCTCTCATCTCTGCAGGGTTTCCTGTGACTTATAATTACCAGTCAGCTGGTCCTAGAGAACTTGCTCAAAATGTGTAAAGACGAACTACGTGGGCCAGTGGCCATTTATTTGCAAGGTGGCACCAACCACTGACATCTGATCACTTCCATACTGATGCTGAAATCCTATGCAAATTCATTACCTATGTCAAGCTGGGAAACACTTCTGTCAAGTCACCACACAATTAAATAAAAATAGCCAAAAGGCACTTACACTGACAATGCTATAGCATCCTGGCCAAATCCAGTTTTGAAAACACTACGGTGTCAGCCACGCACCATTTAGGACGGGGAGAATGGAAAGCCAGTTTGGAGAACAGACGCTTTCTTAAGAGTACACGTGAATATGAAAAGGGACTCTATGCCCTCAAGACCAAAAAAGAAATCCTCTGCGCTGCCCAGCTTCATCGCGCCAGGTGGGACAACATACACGACCCCTCCCCCTCCGAGTCCCGCCCCACGCGCGCACAGCGGAGCAGGAGGCGCCCGGCATTCGCAGGTAATCCCGGGTCCCTGACACTTCTGTCGAGTTTTCTCAAAGGCGCCGCACGGCAAGCGACGGCCAGGTCCACGTGGGCCAGCAGGCGCGTGGGACGCAACCCGCCGCCGCCTCTAGCCCCGCCGGCGCCCGCCAGCCCGGCCCCCACCCGCGGGAGCCCGGGAGTCCGGGCCGGGGGCTTGCGGGGGCGGTGCGCGCAGCCCGGGCAGGGGTCGCGGCGGGGGAGGGGAAAGGAGCCCGGCTCCACTCACGCGCCTGGGGGCGGCACGGGGACCGCAGCTGCGTCTCTCCGGCTCAAAAAACTGAAAAGGGGAAAGGGAGGGGGGGGAAAAAAAAAAAAAAAAGACCTGGCTCCTCGTTTCATCCGGAAACCGATCGGCCGGCAGGAAATGACGAAGGCAGAGGGCGTCCAGGTCCGCTCGGTAACCGGTTCCCGCGCGCCCGGCCCCGACTCCGGGGGAAAGAGCCCCGGAGCGGAGCAGCGCTGGCCGCGTGCCGCCTCCGGAGCTGGCAGCGTGAGTGGCCCCGCGTCCCCGCGCCTCCCAGTCCCCGGCGGGGCCGCGTCACCCGGCCCCGCCCCGCGCCGCCCGCCCCGCCCCGGACGCGAGAGTAAGGGGGGGTCGCCGCCCGCCCGCCCCAGGTCCCGTGCGGTCCCCGAAGCTCCGAGCACCTGCCGGGTCCAGGCGCGGAGCTCCTCGGCGTCGCATGGAGCAGCCAGTCGCCCGCTTCCGGAAGCGCACACGGCCCAGTCGCGGCGGCCCATCTGCCAGGGCGGCGGGGGCTCAGCGGGAGGGTTGAGGCTGAATCACGCGCAGCCTGCGGGCGGCGGAAACGTCCCTAGAGCCTGGCCGCCCCGGGACCCGGGCCGCTTCCTGGGAGAGGATTACATTTTCTCCCTGCTCCACTTGACTTTCTTCCGGAAGGAGCAGGTCTCGCAGGATCGGGGCCAAGGCTGGAAGAGTTCAGGTTTGGGAGTCGTGTGTGTAACAGCCCCGCGCCTCCACGCCCTGGCCCGTGTGGCTTTGGGCAAGTTATATAACCACCGCCGCCACCCCAGCTTCTTTTCCTGTAAAATGGAGCTTTAGTGCCGCCCAGCAGGGTTGTTGGGATGATTCAGTGACTCTGTGGACTGCCCAGCACCTGTGAATTGCTTTCCTCGATGTTGGGTGCAGGCCTGTGAGCTTGTATGTACTCTTCTGCTTCAGGATGCCAAGCCTTTAGTGTTTCAGAGGGATGAGAGAAAGAAATCCCATTTATTGATGCAGAGGATTTTGTTGTAAGGGACTCTAGGAACTAAGTGGTTCCAATGTGAATTTGTATCAAAATAACAAAGTTCTAAGTGAGAGACAAAAATGGTAACATGAATGTACGATGACAAGCGGTGGTCAGTTTTAGAACCACCTAGACGTGGCATGAGGAACCCAAAATCACGACACAGATTTTAAAGCCTATGATACAGTGACCTAGTCCCTAGAAAAAGTAGTTCTCGGCTGGGCATGGTGGCTCACGCCTGTAATCCAGCCCTTTGGGAGGCTGAGGCGGGCAGATTGCCTGAGCTCAGGAGTTTTGAAACCAGCCTGGGTAGTATAGTGAGAGAACCCCCCACTCCCCCGACTTTAAAAAAAAAAAAAAAAAAAATTACTCAGGCATGGTGGCACTTGCCTGTATTCCCAACTACTTGGGAGGCTGAGGCAGGAGAATCCCTCTATTCCGGGAGGTGGAGGCTGCAGTGAGCCGAGATCGCACCACTGCCCTCCAGCCTGGGTGGCAGAGCGAGACCCTGTTTTAAAAAAAAAAAAAAAGAAAAGAAAACGTAGTTCTCATCCTGAAAGTTTGGCAACCTAAAACCAACTCCTAGTTGTCATATATTGGCAACTTTAGATACACATGTTTACTTGGAACTTAATTCAGCCCATCCTAGCCTCTCCTTACTGAAATAGTTCAAGCATTACATTACAGGAAAATGTGAAAAAAAGGTATCTTGCTTTAGATTCCAGAGGAAGGCTGTGGTGGTACGCAGTAAGCACGCAACAGGTGTATGTGTGTACACTTGGTTACACTGTGGCATGCCGAGAAGGAGGGGACGGGGTCATAGTTCAGGCTGCATGTGGGCTGTGGGTCTGTACTGTGACTCAGGACCAGAGCACTCCTTACTCCTGGCAGCCTTACAAAGTCATGCCATTGATCATGATTGAGGACTGGGAGGGAAAGGCCTCCCCTCTGCAAATCTTTCACAACTACACTCCTAAAAATAACTCAAGTGCATGTCCCTGGAAGCACAGAAGAGTGACCTCATGACATACCAAGCATGTTGTATAATATAGGTTGTATAATTCACGTTTAATTTTACCGTTGTGTGTCAGCAGTAATTAGAAATTTTTTCCTAAGTGTAATTAAAGACCTGCATATTTGGGGCAGGAGGAAGTAGCGCTTTGAGTAGGAATATACCATTTACTGTGGTACATGTATATACATTCCATGTGGCACATTAACAACATCTTGCGAAAAATTAAAGCAAGAAATTAACCTGATTCTGATCCATTTTGTCATTAGAAAATAGGAAACATTTTGTAATATGTCAGATAAATGACACTCATGAAATGTTCTAGTGGCTAGTGCTGTATGGCTCCCCGTTTCTTGCCTAATTTGTTAATAACTCTCAATCCTGAAAGCTGCCTCCCTTGCTGCATAATTGTCCTGGGGCTTCTGCAGCATCTCAAATCAAGACACATAAAGTCATCTTTTTTTTGCCAAACACGGTGGTGGTGGTTGCTATTTTACACTTTGGCACCAACGAAGTTTGAGATTCCATAAATTATACAGACAGTTATAGTGTCTGGGCTTCCAAAAGTTTCCATGTCTAAAGTAGGCTGATTACTTACTATAAACCATAAAGTTACATTCAGAGGAACTCTGGAATTTAGTTTTGAGGAATGAGAATTCAAACTGTCAATATGCCAAATACCTCTGTACCTCTCACTCAAAAAAAAATCCACAGCCAGTCTTCAGTATCTAGGAATTGGGTATAGTCTAGTGTTTAAATAATATTTAGATAGTGCATCTACAAATGTTTACAATTTAAGTTCTGTTTTTATTGTTCCTGGCTAATTTTCACGAGACCAATCTTTATATTCAGCAGACACCCATAGTTATTTTAGTGAAATCACTCCTGCCTTCAGTGTGAAGAGTTGAAGTTAAATGGCTGTTCATGATACTCACTTTATTCTAAAGGAGTACAGTATGTCCCCAAACTTCTGACAAAGACAAGTTGTCAGAAAGGCAAAAACGTGCCACATGGCTTAGGAACAGACCTCTCTGTTCTTAATGAAACTGCATTCTTCTTATATAGAGGCAAGCTAGAAGAAAGAACTCTGCCCTCAGTACATATATATTAACTAGCTGGCCAAATCTACACTAATGAACACTTCGGAGGCTTACAGCATGGACTCCTGCAAGACATTTTAGTGGAAGAATTTTTGCAATGCCTTCATTATTGTAGGCAGCGTAGAAAAAGTCACCGAAAACTTTTTAGACTCTTTTTCTTGGTGTTAGAAAATGACTGATTCTCAGAAACTACAATGCAGCTATCACCTATATTTGTCCATTTTTCTCCTGTATATAGAGTGTCTAAAACAACACTTCTGGATTTTCTTTACGTATTAGGTCATTTTACTTAGCCTTACCTTTTATGTCCTAACACAAGGGAGGAACTTTCTCTTTAAGGAAAAATTCAGTGAACTTCTCTAACACAAAGAAGAAGTCATTACTTTTACTTGCTGTTTGATGCACTTGCTGTGACCACTCTAACTTTCTGTGGGAATGTCCAAAGAATGCATTTCCTAGGGTAGATGTCACAGCTGTGTCAATAGCAAAATGTATCTTTTCATCCCATAGCTTCTTTCAACCAAATTTGTCCAGCAGGCCAAAGCTAGATAAAGCTCCAAACCTTTCCCAGTATGGGAGGCATGGGGCGTGAGAGAGCCGTGTTCTGGCTGTGACATCCTTGCTAGGCTGCTGTGCAACACTTTTGTAGCAGCACAGCCAGGTGTTGAGTCTCTGTGTTTTTTGTTTTTGTTTTTTTGAATAGAGTCCCACTCTGTCACCCAGGCTGCAGTGCAGTGGCCTGACCTTGGCTCACTGCAACTTCCGCTTCCCAGGTTCAAGCGATTCTTCTGCCTCATCCTCCCGGGTAACTGGAAATACAGGCACCTGCCATCATGCCCAGCTAATTTTTTGTATTTTTAGTAGAAACAGGGTTTCACCATGTTAGCCAGGCTGGTCTTGAACTCCTGACCTCAGGTGATCGCCCACCTCGGCCTCCCAGAGTGCTGGGATTACAGGCACCAGCGAAGTCTCTGTTTTAAAGTATTCTGTTACTTTCCTCTGGGTGTTACAATTTGGAGGCTGCAATAACATTTCAAGCTCAGTCCTTTTAGTAATATTATTTTTTATCCCAAGTTTCTTAAGGGGCCAGATTGTAAATATTTTAGGTTTTGTGGACTTTGAAACAAAATCAATATTGTGTAGGTGCAGTCCTTGGTATTCGGGAGATTGGTGCCAGGACCCCCTCAGATATCAAAATCCATAGATGGCCAAGTCCCGATATAAAATGGCATAGTATTTGCGTATAACCTAAGCACATCCTCTGTGTACTTTAAATCATCTCTAAGCACTTATAATACCTAGTACAATGTAAATGCTATGTTAATAGTTGGTATAATGTATTTTTTTAAATTTGTATTGTTTTTGCAAATATTTTCCTTTCACAGTTGATTATGCGGATGCAGAACTGTCAGATAGAGAGGGCCAACTGCACCATTTAAAATGTGCCACTTAGAAATGTAATCCCATTCTTGGCTCGTGGGCCACACACAAACAGGCAGTGGACTGGATTTGGCCAGTAGGCCATATGTTTGCCAACCCTTCTCCAGACAGTGCTACCATCATTAATTAAAAGAAACCCTACTTTCTTTTCTCTCTTACAGCCCCATGGCTGGGGGTTATGGAGTGATGGGTGACGATGGTTCTATTGATTATACTGTTCACGAAGCCTGGAATGAAGCCACCAATGTTTACTTGATAGTTATCCTTGTTAGCTTCGGTCTCTTCATGTATGCCAAAAGGTAAATTTTTGTTTCTCAGGGTAGATAAAAACTGTGCATTTACAAGTTTTGCAAGTTTAAGAAATACGAAATGAATACGTAAAAGTAATTGCATCAGGCTGGGCGCAGTGGCTCACACCTGTAATCCCAGCACTTTGGGAGGCCAAGATGGGTGGATCACGAGGTCAGGAAATTGAGACAATCCTGGACAACATGGTGAAACCCTGTCTCTACTAAAAATACAAAAAGTAGCTGGACGTGGTGGCACGTGCCTGTAATCCCAGCTACTTGGGAGGCTGAGGCAGGAGAATCACTTGAACCAGGGAGTTGGAGGTTGCCGTGAGCCGAGATCGCACCACTGCACTCCAGCCTGGTGACAGAGCGAGACTCCATCTCAAAAAATAAATAAATAAAATAAATTTCATTATAATTTTTGTTCTAGTGCTGACAGACACTGTCCACTCTGGTCTCAAGCATTGGTGGCCAAGGTTTGGCTCTGAAAACCCCATTGCTGACCAGACATGGTGACTCACACCGGTAATCCCAGCACTTTGGGAGGCTGAGGCAAGTGGATCTCCTGAGATCAGGAGTTCAAGACCAGCCTGGCCAACATGGTGAAACCCCGTCTCTACTAAAAATACAAAAATTAGCTGGGCATGATGGTGTGATCCTGTAATGCCAGCTACTCAGGAGGCCGAGGGGAGCATCACTTGAACCTGGGAGGAGGATGCAGTGAGCCAAGATCGTGCCACTGCACTCCAGCCTGGGCAACAAAGTAAGACTCCATCACAAAAACAAAAAAAACCCATTGCTTTAAGAAATAGAGAGTTAAGTACCACTCTTAGCCCTCAGGCCAGCTGCACTAAACTCTCAATTCTGTAATTTCTATTATAGCCCAATTTTATCATCCAGCCTGGGTTCATTGTCACCCTTCATTGAGCACATTGTTTTGGCTTAAGTCCCTGAATGCAGAAACACTGACTCCTATGTATTCAGCAAATCTCCCTTCAACCAGTATAAGCTTTTCCTTGTTTTTTGTGCATGACTGTATGATAGCACTTATTAAACAGCGTTAGTCTTATCTGATTACTTGTTTGTCCTTTCTACAACATGTCTTTTTTGTCTTTTACCTTTGGGTCCCTGGTGTGCCGTATAGTGTAAATCTTCAATGAATATTTCCTGCCTTAATTCCAGATGTTGTAGCTTAATTTAACTGCTTTTCCACATTCCCTGGCTCCTTTCCCAGAAGTACAGTAAAAAGGGGGAGGTGCGGGGATGCTTTAAAAAGAGGAAGAGCAGTGTTACATTGGGATACTTCTGCAGACACATACTTTACAGGTATCCTCTCCCAAGGTAAAAAGGCATTCGAGAGTTCAAGGTAATTAGTAATCCAGAAATAATTTAAGTTTGGCCTGAGGAATCATTCAGAGCCCCCACTTGCACCCAGATCTCAGCTGAACCCTCCTGGAGCAGCTGGCCTGTTGGCTCATGAACTCTAGGGGTGGTGAGAGGGGGCTCCCTGACCATCACTGATGACCTGGCAGGTGACCACTTTCCTCTAAGCCACCACCGCCTCCCCATGTTTCTTTTAAAAGTGGAGGCACTCTGTTCTTAATTTTAAAAAGATGTCTCCACTAAGGCCATGCTATTGTATTTAAGAAATATGTTTATTCATTACTTTCTAAAATTAAGGTCTGCTCACATTCAATTTATTCTCCAGCTCAGTCATTTAGCTTTATCTGGATGACGGGAAAGGAAGGAAAAATCAGCTGTTTTCTTGTTTGTGATTTTCTCATAGGATATTTGGCTTTTGGGGATTGAGGAGAATCACAATGGAGGAACTTCACTTTGTTGTGTTAATTGGATGTGTTCAGCTACTTTTCTCACTTACAGCCTCATACTTTTTAATGAAAGAAATAATACTTTGAGCCAAGGAAGCAGCTCTCAAAGACAAAATAGAAAGTAAAATGGGCTTGTTGTCATTTAAGTCCTTTTGCCACAGCTTCTGATGACCAGGATTATAAGCATATTACAACTCTATAGACATTAATACAAAACTGCATGGATTTTGTGTTTAGGAACAAAAGGAGAATTATGAGGATATTCAGCGTGCCACCTACAGAGGAAACTTTGTCAGAGCCCAACTTTTATGACACAATAAGCAAGATTCGTTTGAGACAACAACTGGAAATGTATTCCATTTGTAAGTGTATTCTGTGCTGAAAGATACACATATGCATGTTTAAAATAGATTTTCTGGAATTGAGTTCATTTAGCAAAATGTTATTAGAAATCGTAAGTAATGAAAACTTAGTACTTTTTTCAGATGTTTAATATGTTTTTCAGATACTTATCCTTTGTTCCTTTTGTATTTTATGCCATTTGCATGTGATACTGGCTCAAAATAAGGCATGTAACTTAATTCAACATAGCAGCATTATTCACTATAGTCAAAAGGTGGAAATCACCCACATGTCCTCAGCAGATGAATGAATAAACAAAGTGTGGTGCATACAATAGAATGTTATTCAGCCCTTAAAAGGAAGGACATTCTGGCTGGGAGCGGTGGCTCACACCTACAATCTCAGCACTTTGGGAGACTGAGGTAGGTGAATCACAAGGTCAGGAGTTCAAGACCAGGCTGGCCAAGATGGCGAAACCCCATCTCTACCAAAAATACAAAAATTAGCTGGGTGCATTGGTGGGTGTCTGTAATCCCAGCTACTTGGGAGGCTGAGGCAGGAGAATCACTTGAACCCAGGAGGCGGAGGTTGCAGTGACCTGAGATCACGCCACTGGACTCTAGCCTGGGCAACAGAGCAAGACTCCGTCTCAAAAAAAGAAAAAAAGGAAGTCCATTCTGACATGCTACACGTGGATGAACCTCGAAGATGGTATACTAAGTGAAATAAGTCAGTCACAACAGAACAAATATTGGATTATTTCACTTACATGAGGCAAATCATAGAGATACAAAGTAGAATGGTGGTTGCCAGGGGCTGCAGAAGAGGGGAATAGGGAGTTTAATGGGTCCAGAGTTCAGTTGGGGATGATGAGAAGAGCTCTGTGGATAGATGGTGGTGATGGTCACAGCAATGCGAGTACATGAAATACCACTGAACTGTACACTTAAAAATGGTTAAAGCGGTAAAGTTTATGTTATGTATATTTTACCACATTAAAAAAATTCTTTTAAAGAAACATAAGTATTGCTTAAAAAAAAAAAAAAGTACAGAGCCTGGGACCAGGCGTGGTGGCTCATGCCTGTAATCCTAGCACTTTGGGAGGCTGAGACGGGTGGATCACTTGAGGTCAGGAGTTCGAGACCAGCTAGCCAACGTGGTGAAACCCTGTCTTTACTAAAAGTACAAAAATTAGCTGGACGTGGTGGTGGGCACCTGTAATCCCAACTACTCAGGAGGCTGAGGCAGGAGAATCGCTTGAACCCGGGAGGCAGAGGTTGCAGTGAGCAGAGATCACGCCATTACACTCTAGGCTGGGGAACAAGAAAAAAAAAAAAAAAAAACAGAGCCAGGAGCTCTGTATGAAAAATTCTAAGTAAAGAACTAAGTTTTTATTGACACATATGCAAAACAAGTTATCCACTGTCAGTAATATGCTCAGTAACACAGCAGATACATTATAAACCCACAGTTTATTTCTTTTTTGATGGGAATGATATAAAATAAAATTGATCCGAAGTTCTGTTTGCAAGGTGTATTAGTTTTCTGTGCTAATTGCTGCTGTAATGAATTACCACAAATGTAGTGGCTTAAACCACACGAACATGTTGTCTTACAGTTGTGTGGGTTAGAAGCTCCACAGCAGCTGTACTGTGCTAACTTCAGAGTGCCTGCATGGTTCTGTTATTCTAGAGCCTCTAAGGAAAATCCCTGTCTTTGCCTCCTCCAGCTTCTCAGGACCATCCACACTCCTTGGGTCACAGTCCCTTCCTCCATCTGCAAAGCATTGCATCTTTCTGACTATTTCATGTCCACATCTCCTTCTCTCAGAACTTAGGCAGGAGAAAAACTCTGTAATTTTAAGGGTCCATCTGAATATATTGGGCAGATAATCCAGAGTCATCTCCCCATGCCAAGGTCCTTACCTTAATCACATCTTCAGAGTCCCTTTTGTCCTGTGAGGTAACATAGGCACAGATTATGGGACAAGATGTGGACATCTTTGGGAGCCATTATGCTTATAAGCAGTGAGCACATGTGTGGATTTGCACATTTAATGAATCCCAGCATAAAGGGTCCTTAGTGCTCGTGATGTGTCTTGTCCTGACAGAATCTGGTGCTTCCAGAAGAAACAGGCAACAGAATTCTTTTTTTAAATAGAAGACTCCTGAAGTTGTACGCTTTGGGCTACAAAAATCTGAATCTACCCTGAGTAGCATAAACAAATAATATCTCCTTATTGGCTAGTGAAAAACTTAGAAGAGAGTGGCCAGGCGCGGTGGCTCACCCCTGTAATCTCAGCACTTTGGGAGGCCAAGGCGGGTGGATCACGAGGTCAGGAGATCAAGACCATCCTGGCTAACACAGTGAAAACTCATCTGTACTAAAAATACAAAAAATGAGCAGGGCAGGGTGGCGGGCACCTGTAGTCCCAGCTACTCGGGAGGCTGAGGCAGGAGAATGGCGTGAACCCAGGAGGCAGAGCTTGCGGTGAGCCCAGATTGTGCACTGCGCTCCAGCCTGGGCAACAGAGTGAGACTCCGTCTCAAAAAAACAAGAACTCAGAAGAGATTGAAAGTTTTAAAGCTAAGCAGTGGATGACACAAAGATTTTTAGCCCTGTATTTTCTCTAGTTTCAGGTTAAGACAGTTTTTCTTCAATAAACATTTCTTAGAAGTACAAAAAGAAGACAGAATTGCATATCTATTTTTTCTTCTAGTTTATATTGAAGACATTATATGTTTAATCAACAATAAGCCTGTTAGATTTATAAGTTAAAATATAGTCAAATTCCTTATGGTGTGGACAAAAGCATTATTATTAACTTTAAGATGGAAATGACAGGTAATAAAGGAAGAAATTACAAAACATTAATTTTAATAGCTTAGATGAGGCATGATGGCTCACACCTGTAATCCCAGCACTTTGGGAGGCCAAGGCAGAATGATCGTTTGAGCCCAGGAGTTCAAGACCAGTCTGGGCAACATGGTGAAACCCTGTCTCTACTAAAAATACAAAAAATTAGCTGGGCGTGGTGACGTTAGCCAGTAGTCTCAGCTACTTGGGAGGCTGAGGTGGCAGGATTGTTTGAGCCTGGGAGGTCAAAGCAGCAGTGAGCCATGATTGTGCCACTGCACTCCATCCTTGGTGACAGAGTGAGACACTGTCTCAAAAATTAATATAATTTTGAAGTTTTAATAGCTTAATGTTTATATTTTAAAGCTCTGAATAATCCTGATACATGAATAATAATAAACATATAAAAATGGGCATCAGCAGTGTTGAGAAATTAGAGGATCATGAAGTGTAATACATCTTTTCCAAAGAAACAAAATTGTTTTAATTCTAGACTAATTACTTAGCCGGGTGCAGTGGCTCGTATCTGTAATCCCAGCACTTTAAGAGGCCAAGGCGAGAGGATCCCTTGAGGCCAGGAGTTCAAGACCAGCCTGGACAACATGGCAAGACCCCATCTCTGCAAAAAAATAAAAAATTAGCCGGGTGTGGTGGTGTCTGTCTGTGGTCTCAGCTACCTGGGAAGCTGAGGTGGGAGGATTGCTTGAGCCCAATAGGTTGAAGCTGCAGTGAGCTGTGTTTGTGCCACTGCACCACAGCCTGGGCATCAGAGGGAGACTCTATCTCTGAAACAGACAAAACTATTTCTTTATTAAGAATCATGACTTGACTGTAATTTAATGATATTAAGTAGTAATCATTTTGCAGTTTTATTAATTTTATCTCTTCTTTTTCTTGTTGTTTTTGCGAATAGCAAGAAAGTACGACTATCAGCAGCCACAAAACCAAGCTGACAGTGTGCAGCTCTCGTTGGAATGAAGCCTCAGAAAATGAGCAACAGAAGTAATTGTTGCAAGCTCCTGATTCTTTCTACTAAATCGTGAACAGCTTTAAAAACATTTCTGTCTGCATAAAATTATTTTACTTGTGACTTTTCCCCAATTGTTTTGTGCATTGTTTTGCTTTTTTAAATTGCATCTCCAAGTCATTGTTAGGTAAATACAAGTGGCTCAAAAGGCTTTGACACAGGGAACCTGCACATATCCAGGATATATGTAACCAGCGATGGTGACTTGACCTTGCAAAGACCTGTGATTCCTTCAGGATACAATCAGTGAGAAATAAAAAACACATCTTGGGAAGCGGGAATCCTGGAGTTTATACCATTTACAATATTAAAAAATAAAAATGCAACCATTGGAATAACTTCCTGTTTGATTGTATTCTGTGAGTGATAAGTATCAGATCAGATCAATAACATTAATTTATTGTTAACAGCTCTTTTTTTTTTTTTTTTTTGGAGACAGAGTCTGTCACCCAGGCTGGAGTGCAGTGGCACGATCTCTGCTCACTGCAACTTCTACCTCCCAGGTTTAAGCAATTCTCCTGCTGCAGCCTCCTGAATATGCTGTTAACAGCTCTTTAATTAATGACCTTTGCTGCTTCAGAACTTGTATGGTAGACTGTCCTTTCTACATCATGATGCATTCTCCTGTGCTAATTTTAAAAGCTTTCTGTAACTAGATTTTTTCCTCATTATGTTCCCAGGAGCGAGTTTGTTTTTATCCCCCAGTTTCATTTCCACCAGGTAACTCTACTTTAGGCCATACTGGGCCCCTGCTGTTGAATAAATGGATGCCTCTATGTTGGTGTTGGCAACTGTGCGGTAATAGTACTACCACTGGCGAATGTTGCCGTCTGGTTACTTGGCATGCCAAGCTTTCCCAAAGAGCTTCATCTCTTTTTCTTGTTCTGTACTATACAATGAAATGTCTTTACCTAATTTTTCATATTTATTTAAATAAAAACTGACTGGGTAGTAGTGGGGAAGTTTAATTGTCCACATAAGTCAAAAGAATCCATTTTTGAACTAGAGCTATTTTCAATTATAAGAATTAGTTGGCTGGGCCCGGTGGCTCATGCCTGAAATCCCAGCACTTTGGGAGGCCAAGATGGGAGGATCACGAAGTCAGGAGTTGGAGACCAGCCTGGCCAACATGGTTAAACCCCATCTCTACTAAAAATACAAAATTAGAAGGGTGTGGTGGCTTGCGCCTATAATCCCAGCCACTCGGGAGGCTGAGGCAGAATTGCGTGAATCTGAGAGGTGGAGGTTGCAGTGAGCTGAGATCATGCCACTGCATTCCAGCCTAGGCGACAGAGGAAGACTTCGTCTCAGAAAAAAAAAAAAAAAAGTTAATAATGACTTCAAGTATTATTTTCTTTTCCCCTTATTGTTAAATAAAATATACATTTTAAATGAAAATTAAGGTTTAGATCAAATAAAATCATTCAGGGAAATTACACTTACTTTAAAAAATGTGTTGTTCAAAAATGTATTGTACAAAGTGAACTGACCAAATAGAATAATTCTTAACTCACAAAGGAGTTTGAGCGCACTGCCTATATATCGAATTTAAATCTGACTAAAGGATTGTAAACAGTTGTAATTATGGGTTGTAGTAGCAAAGCAGCAAGGGGACAATCTTCTAAACTTGCCTTTGCCTAGGAGAACTACTGTATATTTCCATGAGCGAATTTAATCAGCAGTAGGAGTGGTTTACTTGTCACTGACATGTGGCACAATCTCGACAAATTACACAAACTGGCTATCAGATTTGTAAAATTAATGTACATAAATAAATATAAGTCACACAATGAAATGAATTGTTTTCTTTGTGTCCACTAGATAGAGATGGTCATAACTACAAACTAGTAGATCGTTTGATGAGCATCAAACCCTGGCAAGTGAGAGATGAATTCCTCTCCGTTTTTTCCTTAAAGCAAACCGATGGGAATTGCACACACCCCACTGGCAGGAACAACAGCAAGCTGGCTTTGAAGTCTCTTCCCTGCTTCAACAGCTGAACTGGGGAGAGTGCAAGCCCTGCAACCACACTTCAAAGCGGCGCGGTCTGGCTGTCCTGCTTCTACCCAACATCCACCTGAGACTCAACGGAACTGTTTTCTTTGGAAGAAAAATGGAACGACTAATAAGCTAGTAATTAACCCTTGTATTCTTCTTATGGTTTCATCTTCCCTTTTTAATGCATAAGATATTCAGCAGTAAGCACTGGTCAGTCTGCCCTGGTGCTCAGCTTGAATGTGTTAAATAACTGGCTATTTAGCTGATGCCAGCCAGCTGCGTGAAGGGGAGAAGGCCGTCTCCAAGGGCACAGATGTTTACTGTTGACCTCACGCTGTGTCTGGTTGAGTTACTCATGATTCATCGGAAAACGACATGCAAGGTTTATGGTAAAACTGCTGTAACATCAGAAGTAGTTTAAGTGTTCACTAAAAGTAAGATAAAATAGTAATAAAAAATAGTTTCAGATGTTAAGATGATATAAGAATAAATTTAACCTAGAAAATGGAGAAGGAACAAAAGAACATTGTATACAGCCAAGTAATTCATTCAATGGTTGGTTCTAGAGTGTTTCCCCTGTGCTTGCTCTATGTGATCCTCTTCCATAGGCTATTCTAATAGCAGAACTAGAATAAGAGGTGCCAGAAAACTAACGGAAATAGGAAGGGCACTGAGCTAACCTCCAACATGTTCACAATAGTGAGGACCAGAGGGCAGGGGCTGGTGCTCCTGTACTTCCCACTTGGCTCCTTAATGAAGCCAAAGCCAAACTTAGACAAAGCTATAAAGCAGGAAAAATGTCCCACCTCTCCCATTTACATCCCTTTTTATCCTCCCATAAGCCTGTGAGTGAGACAGGTCTTGAATGAGGATTTAAGAATGGGAATGAGGAACTCAGAACTAAAGTGGTGAACCCTACACATCACAACAGACATGCAAACTTTCTTTGACCTCTAACAAAATAAGTGGCATTCAGCATTGGACCTTATACTAATGAAACCGCTACTTTTATTTTATTTTATTTTTATTTTATTTTATTTTATTTTATTTTATTTGAGACGGAGTCTTACTCTGTCATCCAGGCTGGAGTGCAGTGGCGCCATCTCAGCTCACTGCAACCTCTGCCTCCTGGGTTCAAGTGATTCTCCTGCCTCAGCCTCCCAAGTAGCTGGGATTACTGGCATGTGCCACCACACTGGGCTAATTGGTATAGTTTTCATAGAGATGGGGTTTCACTGTGTTGGCCAGGCTGGTCTCGAATTCCTGACCTCAGGTAATCCACCCACCTCGACCTCCCAAAGTGAGATTATAGGTATGAGCCACTGCGTCCAGCCTTACCTTTATTTTATTTAGATATAGTAAAAAACTAAGACCATTTGTGGAGGTTAGTAACATTCCACAATCCAGATTGGAAGGTGGGGTAAATGAAAGGGGAGGCCCCTCCCTGGTGCCGGTTTTGATGCTGAAGGAGCACTGTGCTTTCACCTCCTTCAGGGTGATGTTTCTAGCTCCAGAATTTCTTTTCTTCCAAATGGAGAAGTGACAGAGGTCTCACTGTTAGGAAAGAGTGGCTCTATCTCTGGGGTTTTTAGGAATATATATTTTGACAAATTTCAAACTAGTCAAAGGAAATTGAGAATGTTTAACTACAGCTGATTTGGTGGTGGTAACTGCAAATGCTTTTGGGCTCAGCAATCAGAATTTCTTGAGAAAATGAACCATGTAAGTGTAAAATGTCTATGAGAAAACAAGTAAATGTACATGGTATTCATTTAGTGGGTAGGGAGAAGGGATTGTAATGTCTCTGAATAACATCTTTATTTTGAAGTTTAAAGAACCAGGCCCATTCAAGTTGACTTTAGTTCTATATAATTCTTTATATCTGAAAGGATTTCTAGCACCTAATATTGGCGTAGTAACTAGCCCAAAGTAAATGCTCAATAACTACTTGTTGAATTAATTAATTTACTTGTAATAGTTTATAGAGGTGATTTTTTTATGTGTGTTTTTTAAAAGTGTAGTCTCCACTTCTGGTAACGGCAGAGTAATTGTGTCAGACTAACTCTTGGAGATAGTGACAATAAGTTCAGGACAAAATATTTAGAAAACAACTATTTGGGCTGGGTGCAGTGGCTCACGCCTGTAATCCCAGCACTTTGGGAGGCCAAGGTAGGTGGATCACAAGGTCAGGGGTTCGAGACCAGCCTGGCCAATATGGTGAAACCCCATCTCTACTAATACAAAAATCACACGCCTGGAGTCCCAGCTACTCAGGATGCCAAGACAGGAGAATTGCTTGCACCCGGGAGGCAGAGGTTGCAGTGAGCCGAGATCGCACCGCTACACTCCAGCCTGGGCATTAGAGAGTGACTCCATCTCGAAAAACATAATGGAACAACCCCCCCGCCCCCGCCAACAACTATCTGGAAGTAACTCTATGTAGACAAACAAACCAGAAGGAAGGTGACCTTTAAGAGAAGGGCACCGGTTGAGATTCTCATTTCTACAGTTTTTTGCCTGAAGGCATTTCCCAGTCCACAGCTCAGGACTATGGGGGAACACAGGCAGAAAGCCACGGTCTCTGAGGACAGAACTCAGGGCTCTGGAGAGATGACAGGGACAGGACATCCCAGAAAGAAGTGAACCACAGAAGAACTGCATGTAAATTTGGGCAAGTTTTTGGCTGATCCTTGAACTATGGTCTGTAGTCCCTCAGGAGCCTAGCAGGAAGCAAATGGCTAAAAAGGCGAAAGAAGCTGAGGCTGCAGTGAGATGAGATTGTGCCACCGCACTCCAGCAGCCTGGGCAACAGAGCAAAAGTCTATCTAAAAAAAAAAAAAGCTGAAAGAACTGAGCAGTTTTCAGCCGCTGCCACCACAGGAATTGCCATTCAAGTCTTGCCAAATTAATTTTGCTTGCTAGAACAAAAATCAGCACTTTTCAGAGAAAGATAACAGAATCTAGAGACTTTGTATCATTCACAGTGTCCAATATGTAATAAAAAAATTACAGGAATTTGAGAAGAACAGGCAAATGAGAACAGAAAGAACAGGAAAATGAGACTATAGTCAAAGAGAAAAAAATGTGACGATGCAGTCCGTAGCCGAGAAAAAGCAGTCAATGGAAACTGACTTCAAAATTACCCAGATATTGGATTGGCAGATAATAACTTTGTTTAATTTTTATTGATTATTTTTTTGAGTCAGGGTCTCACTCCGTCACCCAGGCTGGGGTGCAGTGGCACACTCATAACTCACTGCAGCCTTGACCTCCCGGGCTCTGGCGATCCTCCCAACTCTACCTCTTGAGTAGCTGGGACTACAGTCACACACCACCATGCTGAGCTAATTTTTTGTA